TGTTATTGTTGTCATTGTCGTCGTCGTTGTCGTTGTTGTTGTTGTTGTTGTTGTCATATATATTATTGTTGTTGCCGTGTTATCGTCGCCGTTGCTGCTCCTGCTACTGTTATTGTTGCCGTTGCTGTTGTTGACGTCGCCGCCATTGTTGCTGTTGTCGCTGTTATTGTTGTCATTGTCGTCGTCGTTGTCGTTGTTGTTGTTGTTGTTGTTGTCGTTGTTATTGTTGTCATCGCTACCATTGTTGCTGCTGTTGCTGGTATTGTTGTCACCGTTTTGTAGTTGCTGTTGTTGTTGTTGTTGTTGTCATATATATTATTGTTGTTGCCGTGTTATCGTCGCCGTTGCTGCTCCTGCTACTGTTATTGTTGCCGTTGCTGTTGTTGACGTCGCTGCCATTGTTGCTGTTGTCGCTGTTATTGTTGTCATTGTCGTCGTCGTTGTCGTTGTTGTTGTTGTTGTTGTTGTTGTTGTTGTTGTTGTTGTTGTTGTTGTTGTCATTGTTATTGTTGTCATCGCTACCATTGTTGCTGCTGTTGCTGGTATTGTTGTCACCGTTTTGTTGTCGTTGTTGTTGTTGTCATTATTGTTGTTGTCGTCGATGTTGCTATTGTTGCATTATGAACAGTGACTTGACCGTGCTAGCATCATTCCTTCTTCGCCACTAACCATACATGTTAGTGATGTTACTTACTGCTATCCTGTCGCAGTGACTTCGGCACGGAGTACCTCACCTGTGACTGCCACCTGGCATGGATGCTGCGCTGGGAGAAGGACACGGGCGTCAGGGTGGACAGGTCGACGAGCTGCAGCTTCCCGCGTGACCTTCGTGCGACCCCGTTCAAGACGCTCAAGCGCAAGGACCTGCACTGCAGTAAGTTATCAGCCACTAGCTAGTAGTTAGTAGTAGTAATGGTGGTGGTGGTAGTGGTTAGTAGTTATGGTTAGTAGGTTTTAGCCGCGGGAGTCTGGCCGCGTAAAAGCTGACTGGGTAGAGAGGAGGAGAGCAGTGTGGAGGTGTGTGTGTGTGTGTGCGTGCGTGCGTGTGCGTGTGCGTGTGCGTGTGCGTGTGCGTGTGCGTGTGCGTGCGTGCGTGCGCGTGCGTGTGTGAATAACTGTTAAAATAGGTGCGTGGGTATGGCTGTTGAATGAATAAGCAGGGCTCGATTTGCAAAGGGGCGTGTAGGTGTGATTAAGCGAGTAATTTGAGCAGTCATAGAGGCAGCAATTATAGGGGTAAACATTTCGAGGGTGCACGAGTCTAGAGGTAAAATAGTTTATAGCAAGTTAATACGGAAACAGTTGTGATGTAACACGAATGTGCGAATTATTATTGCGCATGCAGTCCTTCCCGATGCACTCTACCCTCTCCCGTCATCGTCGGGTTATACCCCTCTGCTCCTTGCCAACCCTGTCAGCTTTGTAGTAGAACTTCTGTCATCTCTCATTAGGACGCCTATAGAACTTTCGCCGTTAGATAAACTGTCGTTGGTAATGCTCCTGATCCCCTCGCGCATCAGAAAAAAAAACTGGCAGAAAAAGGTCGCAGGCAGCCGAGTGACGGATCTACTCTACTCGCCGCCAAGCTGCTAAAATGAGGCTTCATCTCTCAGTGAAGCTGTAAGAGAGAGCGAGAGCGAGAGAGAGAGAGAGAGAGAGAGAGAGAGAGAGA